AAGGGTTAATAGAATGGTGCATGGGATAGAGGGGTTGCCATACGACCAGAGGCTGAAATCTCTCAAATTGTTTTCTCTTGAAAAAAAGAAGAGTTGTGGGGATCTGATTGAGGTGTTTAAGATTGTAAATGGAATTGATAGTGTTAAAGTATCATTCTTTTTTATATTTACCAATGAGAATAGTAGAACTAGGGGACACAAATATAAATTTTGGCAAGGTAGGAGTTATCTTCAGCTAAGACAGTTTTATTTTTCTAACAGGGTGGTTGGCCTTTGGAATGGGTTGCCAGCAGATGTTGTAGAGGCAGTAAATTTAAGTTAGTTTAAGAAAAAGTTTGATAAGTATATGAATGAAAAGGGCTGGGTTTAAATTTTTTTATCATTATTATTTTTTAATCATTTTAATTTAATTTTGAGGATGGAACAGCCAAGATGGACCAATTGGGCTCATGTTGTCCCAAAATATTATGTTATGTTAACCACGTTTTTTTAAGGAATATAGCTTTAGAAGTTGAAATGAATTGTAAAAAATGATTTAATCATAATTAAATATACACACAAAGAGAAAGTTGGCATATATTATAAGAACTTGTAGAATATTTTATGCCGGCCAATAATCAACTTCAGCACTGAGAAAATGTTTTTACATGAAAAGAAAATTTTATATTGTATTTAAAAAAATGTTAAGATCTTCAGATTAATTTATTTTATTTACAAACTGCCTTTATTTTGCTTTTGTATTTATAACTTTTGAATGTTATGGAGCTACCCTTGTGGCTAACTTAGGAAAAGACACAATCATATAAACACATCAGAAGATCAAACATAATCTAACATTGTAATTACATTATTAAACATAAGGAAAGTTTGAATGGTAAGTATTTATCCTCTCAAATATGGTATCTTATTGACATTCAGGCACAATCATAAATAATTAATCACATCTACATCTTTTACCTTCTACATAAAGATGTAAATACTAATGATGTAATAATTCCTCTACATCCTTTATATTCTGCATAAACATGTAGGTATAATATGAAATAATATTTTTATATTCTTCATCTCTCACATGAATTCCATTGTTTACCTTCCATATCTGCTGAGAACACCTGGAGGATAAGTTGACACATAACACCCTCCTGAATACTGTTCTCCTAGCCAGTTTTTCTCTTCATAGTGGACTGGCTATTAAACAGGATAACAAGAGTCAGACAGGAAACATCAGTGCAGAATTTTTTGAACAAATTATGGTTTGCAATAAATAACAATTACTTTGACTTTATGAACAATTTTAGGTTTAATTACAGCCAGTTGTGTACTTTCTCTGAAGTTTTCTTACATATGAGCTTGAATTAACCTTATTTAGTAGTTTCAGCATCTCTCAAACATTTAAGAGGTCTAATTTTTTTTTTCTTATATTTCTGAACATTTTCCAAGTGCAATTAAAATCTTTGAATATTTTTAGTCCTAAAATTTATGTTACAGGTACACTACAGAAGCAAGTCACTATAATCATATTTGCATCATCTGCTTTGCATGGACAAGTACTTGCTACAACTTGCCACTTATTATTGTTCCTCATCTGATAAAGGAACCACAAACTTATATTAAAAATTTGTTTTTAAATGCTTAAAGTTTGAAGAAAAGTGACACCAAAATGTTATTGGAAATTTTTGCTTCAAGGTGCTAACATCAGCACATGCTTGAAGGTGCTAACATTAAAACAAAAATGACTCCATAAGTTCTATAAATAAAACAACACCTGTAAGCCCTCATCACATCCATAAGCCTTAGCTAGGTCTTGAGCTATGATTTTCATTCTTTCTTCTTTCGAAAGACCTTGCATCTTAATAGCATGGTCGGCAAACACAAATCTAAAACATTACAGATATCATAAACCATAGCAAGTAGAAATTGATTACAAAAATATATGTCAATTAAGAAACACATTTACACTATCAGCATCACTACTTGTTATGTTAACACAAAATTGTATCTTATTTGAAAGAAAAACAATAAACTGAATGGTCAGTAAGTTTTAAACACAAGCATGAATTTTGATATAGGACAGTACTTTATGAAGTTAACTCTTACCTTCAAACTTATTAAACTCGAAAATGTAAGTAAGTTTTAAACACAACATGAATTTTGCCATAGGACAGTACTTTATGAAGTTAACTCTTACCT